GTCTGTCGTTTCCCACTTTGGGACTGGATTCTCTGCAGCACTGACTGGTGAGTGTCCTTGTGCTCGCTGCCTGCATATGAAACAGAAACAGATCAACCACACGACCATGATTCCAGAAACGGCGTGTGAGAGCAAACTCTAGCTGTTAGCAGGCAAGTCCCAAACATAATCAGTCAGATTTTATATAGAATTAAACAGGAGCAGTTTTCTGTTCACCAGAGTCACTCGCTGACCTTTGTATAAGTTTCATCACTGCCATGATGGGTTCAGTTCACACACACACACACACCGTCTCACACCTTCTCTGATCTCTCACCCCAGAGTGAGACATTCCCCACTTTGGTCCTGAAATTGACCGGAGCCGAGAATGGACTTTCTGTCACCAATCTGAAGATAGATAGATAGATAGATAGATAGATAGATAGATAGATAGATAGATAGATAGATAGATAGATAGATAGATAGATAGATAGATAGATAGATAGATAGATAGATAGATAGATAGATAGATAGATAGATAGATAGATAGATAGATAGATAGATAGATAGATAGATAGATAGATAGATAGATAGATAGATAGATAGATAGATAGATAGATAGATAGATAGATAGATAGATAGATAGATAGATAGATAGATAGATAGATAGATAGATAGATAGATAGATAGATAGATAGATAGATAGATAGATAGATAGATAGATAGATAGATAGATAGATAGATAGATAGATAGATAGATAGATAGATAGATAGATAGATAGATAGATAGATAGATAGATAGATAGATAGATAGATAGATAGATAGATAGATAGATAGATAGATAGATAGATAGATAGATAGATAGATAGATAGATAGATAGATAGATAGATAGATAGATAGATAGATAGATAGATAGATAGATAGATAGATAGATAGATAGATAGATAGATAGATAGATAGATAGATAGATAGATATAGATAGATAGATAGATAGATAGATAGATAGATAGATAGATAGATAGATAGATAGATAGATAGATAGATAGATAGATAGATAAATAGATAGATAGATAGATAGATAGATAGATAGATAGATAGATAGATAGATAGATAGATAGATAGATAGATAGATAGATAGATAGATAGATAGATAGATCGATAGATAGATAGATAGATAGATAGATAGATCGATAGATCGATAGATCGATAGATCGATAGATAGATAGATAGATAGATAGATAGATAGATAGATAGGTCCCCCAGCTTCCCCCCTCCCCATCTCTCCCTGTTGTCACACACACTGAGTCCTGGGAGAGGACGGGGTCCTGTCGCGAGCCGGCGCACCGATGTGTTGTTTTTCATTAATCTCCCCTTTCGTCTCGTTTTAGTGGCAGTGAATCGATGGACTGCTAAGGGCATAGTATCAAATCAACATGTATCGATTCGCTTCTGGATAAAAAGGAGGCAGCCAGGTAAGTCCTCCGTGCGCAGGCGGTCTGGATCTGCTGCGCACCGCAACGCACAGGAGCAGCATACGTGCGTCGCGCGCCGGCGAGCGCTGCTGAAGGGAAGTTTCTCGTTTCTGTCAGACTAAAGTCGTCTCGGTTATTCTACGTGAAGCTGTTTGCTCTAAGCGGACAGTGTTTTAGTACCGGGACCCTTTTGTATTCCAAAACATCACGTGGGGAATGGAAACGCTCCGCTGTGCGCTCACACGTGGATTTATCTGGTTCGTGTGACGGAGAGGCACACTGCGTGTTGTGAGTGTGGACGTAAACCAGAAGCGCTGGACTCTCCGTGAAGACGCCGGGCGTCCTCCTTGTCCGTGGCGCAGTAGCACACCAAACTGGGGACGCTGAGGAATGCGGATCCGGGATTCTGATCATTCCAGATCACCTAACTCTTCTCAGCTCACATCAAGGTAGCGGGGTCATTTAACTCCAGCCATGGTGCATTTTGATCACTTCTGACTTTATTAAGAAGATGAAAGTGGAGAGGAAAAACAAAGATGCGCTGAATCCATCCCACCAACTGTAATTAAATCTGTGTTACTCCTGTTTTGTTGTTTTAATTCTCCAGCCGACCGCCGCCGGTCAGCCCGCGGGGCGCCATGCTGAGGCAGATCCTCCTCAACTCCACCGACACCCCGGACTTCGACCTGCTGCTCATGACCCAGTCCACCACGCACGCCCCCGCCTCTCTGAACGCGTCCAACAGCGGCTCTGTGAGCGTGGCCGCGCTTTTGAGACCTACCACGGGGAGGGGGGGCGGAGGGCTCCGGGAAGGCGAGCTTAACAAACCGGATCTCGTCACCTACATCGTCATGTGCCTACTGCTGTTTCTGCTGGTGCTGCTGATTGTGTTCTTCATCAACTGCCAGCTCCGGAACTCGTTTTTCGCCTCCATGCCATATGACAGGTCACTGAGGGAGGCCCGGACCTCCTACAAGTAACAGACACCCCCAAAGTTACATGGGGTTCAGGACAGTAGAAGTCCAGTGGATGCTTTTCTGCTGTGGAGCTATGATCAGGAGCAAGGAACACCTGGAATCATATCTAAGCCCTGACAAGCACTTCTGTGCCAGGTGGAAAAATAACAATGACTCCAGAATGAATGACTGACTCACAGGCTCGTGTTTCTGCTAAATAATGGCTGAAATCTAATTCATCATCTGTTAAGATTCACCTGTGCTCTCTAAAACAGGAACACATTTCTTCCAGTATCCTCTCCAGCTCCGGTATGAAGTCATCTAACGGCCTTCGACCTGGCGCCTGCAGTGTGGGCCTGTTCCTCCTCATAGTTCACAAATATGTCAGAATGGAAGCTAACTGAAAGCATTTTGTAAAACTTGTGCTGGAGGCAACTGTGACTGGATTTACAACACGCCACCAGACATATCATATAAAAAGTATTTTAGTTGTGTACTGATGATGCTGCAGCTGCTGATGTGGAAGAGCAGCTGTTTATCTTTTAATGCGAGAGCCGCGAGACTGCCAGTCTTATCGAGAACCTTCACTTTTATTTAACAGCCCTCCAACAATTTATTGCGTCATTACCATCCGGTAATGAGAGAACACTTGAGCCTGACGTATGACGAGACCTCTTGTACTTTAACTAAGTCAAACTGTTGTCTTTTGCAGTGCAACCGGTGATGTGTGAATCCTGTCCAAGCTTGTTGTTGGAAAACATCTCTCACATACCAAGACAGATAAAATGAGCCTATATCTTTGTAATCCTGCCCCTCTTTCTCTTTCTGTGTGTGTGTGTGTGTGTGTGTGTGTGTGTGTGTGTGTGTGTGTGTGTGTGTTTGTGTGTGTGTGTGTGTGTGTGTGTGTGTGTGTGTGTGTGTGTGTGTGTGTGAGAGAGAGAGAGAGAGCATTTTACATTGCCTCAGCTAAAGGAAAGTGCAATCAAATAATATTTTAAGTATTTATTCTCAGCGTGTATTCTGTTATGTGTATTTCCAATTAAATGAAAGGCAGAGACCAAAGTCTAATTGTGCTATCGCCTATGGAGTGGAAAACTGAATTGGCTTTTATTTTGAAAATATTGTGCAACAATTGACAATATTTATTACATCCTGACCAAATGGGTGATCTAGATGATTTAAACTCCCTTTCTACTCCCTACAGGTGCATTTGCTTGATACGGTTGTGTGGGTTGTGGAACCACTGAAGCGCCTGCTATTTTGACTCTAACCACTTGATGGCGCCCCAAGTCCTGTTGTTATTTTGCGCGTATTCACGCCATAGCAGAGCAACATGGCACAGGCTCCCAACATTGCAGCAGGGGAGCAGTCAGACATTTAAAAAATAAGTTTGGGGCTTAAAAACAAATTTTCTGAAAAAGTATTAATCACAAAAACCCCTAAAGAAAGAAAGAAAGAAAGAAAGAAAGAAAGAAAGAAAGAAAGAAAGAAAGAAAGAAAGAAAGAAAGAAAGAAAGAAAGAAAGAAAGTACCAAACAACAAGAATGAAGGTAAAGTCCTTCTTTGAATAAAGGAAATTTAGGATTTATGAAATATGATATTAATAATTCCAGCTCATGAACAGATATGGAGCTCTGAGGTTAATTAGCCCTTATGCCTGCATGTTATCAAGCAAAGTGCAACGTTGTAGAAGAATGAGAGGATGAGTTTTGGTCTTTGCTCATTTCCGAATCCTGGAGATAAAAACCTGCGTCACGAAGAGAGCACTCTTGTAAAAAAAAACAGTGGAAAAGGCTAAAAGGGTAGAACACCATGAATGACTTTAATTAGCCTGTAGGGAAAACCTCCTCTCTCTAGCTGAACCTTTATGCTAAATGAAATGGGAAACAGTTATATTTTTCAGGAAACACAGTCTGCCTGAAAATCATTTAAATTGAGAATTCAGACCTCATTAAGTGGGGTTCAGTGAAAAGGTTATAACAATTAATATCTTCCCTGCTGCTCTTTGAAAAAGCACAGTTAGGAGACTTATTGTCTAATGCAGTCTAATCTTAAAACAACAGATAGTGTGTTAAATAGATTCTTAAATAAATATTTACACCACCCTAAAATTCACATTTAAAATCCACACATGAAATTTAGAGATTTCTAAGTTACTTTACAACGTACCCCGGGTTTAACATGCTCGTATTTAGCTTCTGTCTGATGATACTCGGTCTACATGACAGCTGCTTCTCCAAATCAAAGATCATCTTTTCACATTGCTTTTCCTCAGATTGGAATTAAAAGATTATTCACTGTGGTAATTTGTGGCAGACATTAACTGGGACACACTTCTGGAGGGATTTTCATATTCATATTCTCAATTTAATCAGGAAATGTGGAAAATTACGACAATATAAAGGTTATAAAATAAATTTGGCAGCCTGGAAATGTTTGAAGGTATTTTGCTTCAGGCTTCATTGTGACTAGCCTCATCTGTTTGATTGGAGCTAATCTTTGTTTTACCAAGCTGAGACTGTTCACATAGCTATCTACAACTGGAAATATTAAATAATATAAAACAATATAAATAATAATAATAATATTAGTTTAAATTCACTTTAAACATGTGAACTTTCCCTTTCAAAATGTTATTTGGAATTATCTGTCTTTAGGTTGGTTTTAATCTCTAAAATGTGACACATAATTCTCAGTGTAACTCTAAACACGGGTCCTGTAACGCTGTAACGTGAGATACCCACTGTGCTCCACTCCAGACGGGGACCCTGTAGGGCTGGAGGGATGAGCTGTGGTAGTTAAATCCTCTCAGGTGCAGCTGCTGGGCGCAGGCTCCTCCCCCAAACACCGACTGTCACTAGAACAGGAAGACTTCTCTGCTAGAGACTACTTCCCCGTAGTCACTCTGGGGTTAAAAAGTTACCTAAAGTTTCAGCAGTCATGGAAACTCGTGTTGGACACATCGCTGATACCGGGCATTCCTAACAGCGAGTCGTCGTTGCCGTTGTCGCTGTAACAGCTCGTTGAAGCGGGCAGATAGGGGGTTTTCCGCTTTACCTGACTGTTATTGTAGCCGACAAGCTAGCCGGGCTAAAGCTAACGTTAGCTCGTTTTGTACCGCTTATTTCGGGGACTAAAATTCACTCTGTCAAAGGAGTGGGTTGTTTTTTTTTTAAAGGGAAGTTGTAGAGTACCGTCCTTTTGGGTGTCTCTCAAACGCTACAGATTGACCATTGTCCTTAGCGTCCTGAGGACTTTTGGACTGCTTTGAATTTCCCTCCTTCGGCGAAACGGTCAGGCGAGGGGGTTCTTTTGGCTTTCTACCAAATCATTAGCAAACGGTGCTAATTGTGGCTAACTAGCATACAGGCCCGGAGGGATTCGTCCTCTTTTCGATAACCTTTATGTATTTGTGCTGAAAGCGGGTGGATTAAAAGCAACAAGTGTCCACTAGGAAGAAACTAGATAATTTATTAATATGGATCAGCAATCAGGAAATTCTGCCTCAGCGGCGGTGTCCAAGAAGGAGAAGAAGTCAAAGAAGTTCAACGAGGATGGAGATGGGAAAAAGAAATTTGTAAGTTTCTCGCTTTGGTGAAGTACTGCAAACTTATATCATCTCCCCTAGAGCGGAGATGGGCCCTGACCAGACCATTTGCTTAACTCTACTTGCTGTTTTTATTATTTTTTTTGTTTGTTTTGTTTTCCTTCCTCTCAAATCTCAACTACAGCTGTTTAACACCAACAAGATTCCATACCTGTAATTACTTCCAGCTCTGAGCCTGCTCGCTGGCTGTCAACATAGTTTTCAAATATGCCCTGTGGCCTTTATGGTTCAGATCAAAGTTCTTAAAAAGTTAATATGAGGAAGTCTTCTGTTTTGAGGACTTGAACTTTGAGTGTGTGTTAGCGCTGTACATATTTGTTGATGCATTCATTTCGGAGAGAAACACAAGGAAAAGTGCTGTTTTCATTTGTGTGAACCAACTTTGGGTGAAAAGGTGTGGCTTAGGTTTTCCTCGGCTGACTGTGAGCTTCTATAGATTCAGTGGTGTCTCGATGGCAACTGATGAGCAAGATTCACTGGTAAAGTTTGCCATCAGCTTGGATAAACTGATGTAACTTTACCTCTTGGCCTGAGCAAGCAACAGGTGAAAACTGATATTGATTGTGGTGGCAACTGGTAACCATAGAGGATGTGCGGACAAAATATGAGTTCTGCTAGAAAGCTCATTTGCACCCCCCCCCCCAAAAAAAAAAATAATACAATTTAAGGCTTTTTCACTTGCCACCTTTTAAAAAAGTAAACATAAATGCTAGAAATCAGGAGTCCTAGCTGGACCATGTCAAGGGCTGAGTTTTGATCACTGAGTTTAGCGCTGTTATGCAACTGCGTCATTCTGCATGGATGGACAGTTTTTAAGGTGTTAACCCAGGGGTCTATGACCTGCTCTTTTGAAGTGGCTCCCGTAATTTTGAATGAAAATGGCATGAACTGGAGTAACATTTGGATTTGTGTTAATAGTGGGAATTGGGAGTTTTGTCAGTATGCCATTAACTCTTTGCAAATTGGTGTGTGGTGTTGATTACAACATAATGTAATATAAAAGGGTTGCTGCCCATTGTTTCAGTAACAGAATCAGGCTGGAAATGGATTGTGCTTGCCAAAGATGTTTGCAATGTGTTCATCAGTTTTATTCTCATGCAAATGGTATGTTAGCTTGCCGTTTCCTTGTTTATGTAGCCTCTGACATACTGAAATTTGTACTTTGAATCTACCAGAAAAACCTTTTTTTTTTACACATTTGATCAAATCACAGGAAAAAAAGAATGCATTTTCATAATTTTTATGAATGAACTGTTAAGACATCAAAATTTGACATTAGAAACCCACTGCAAACTATTCATATTACAGAGAAATTAGGGCTGGGCAATAAACAAAAAATTTATTGTTATCGAAATTTCTGACTTTTTATTCTTTTTCCCATGTCTATAAGTGTGATCATTTAAAAATGAAAATGTGTGTTGGTTGGTGACATTCATGCCCCTTTAAGAAGCTGTACCACGTTGAGTCATGTGACGTGACTCAATGGCCGTGTTTGAGTTGAGCTGCGCCTCGCCTGGAAAACAGACGAGAGCAGACGGAAGCAGCAGGGGGAGTGGCTGAAAGCCGGTGTTTAAGTCGGACACAATTTCCTGCATGTGTAGCTCGCGGGTGACGATGGCTGAAGATATCGCGTTAGCGTTCACACTTGATTAATAATTTATTTTAATTCTGGTGCCTGTCAGCAGCTGAAACACATCCTCACATGCTTGTGAATATCATATATTGTATATGAATAAGTAAAGGTTATCAGCTGTAGCTTTAGTGTGCTCATAGGAAACGTGACAAAAGAAAACCAAACACATTTCTCTTTATGGCCTATATTGTTGTCATCATCAACATAACATGATTTACGGAATACATGTGACCAACTAACATTTCATGTTCTACCACCGGATGTTTGGATCAAAATATGAACCAATCAGATCTTAGATAGGTGAGAGCAAGGCGTTTCCCGTCATCCTCTAGGTTTTGCAGCCGGTGGAGAGCAACTGCAGCGCCTTGCTCCAAAATCTGCGGCCGCCTTGATCTCACGAGGTAATCGTTGCCTACGTATGCATGACGTCAGAGCAAGTCGGCGTCAAGTCGGACAAAAATCTAATCGACATGCACTGCTCGCCGATCACTGCTGATCTAATCTGCGCAGAACTGACTCATCTCGAACACGGCCAATGTAATACATGTGACAGCCCCATCTAGTGGACAGCTTTGTTTCGGCACATACATGTAGTTATCGTTCATTTATTGATATCAAGGTGAAATCCTCAATATCTCGTGATTCGTCATATTGATTTTAAACCATATCACCCAGCCCTAAAATAAATAAACAGAAAATAATTCCTATCAGGGCTGAACGATCTATAGTTTTTGGACCAAAATTGCGATTTATCCAGGATCAGTTTTGTAACTTTTTTTTTTTTACATCCGGGGTTTTTCCACGGTGTTATGGTGGCGACAAAAGCCAGCGCGGGGGAGGGGGGTGGGGTGTACGTGCAGAGCCGAGCCTAACTCCACAGCTGACAGAGCTGCATGTTCAGATTATTTTCCCTGTTTGGTGTTTCCCCTAGGAATTTTTCCAGCTGTGGTGGTGGTTGTGGGTGGGGGTGGGGGGGTTATGACACGCCTCACCTTTATGTTAATATTGTTTTATTAGACGCTCTCCACTTTGAACTGCACCAATCCAGCAACTGCTGCATTTTAATAACTATTATTAAAGGTGAATACACCAATATTTGCACAAGAATAGTTTTTGTTTTAAACTCTCAATGACACACTTTGCGCGGGTGGGGGGGTGGGTTGGCATTCAATTTTTCTTGGCGTCTGGAAAAACAAATCCTTCTGTCCCCCTTGATTTGACTTTCTGCCCCCTGTATTTTGATCCAAGATCATTACTGAGTTGGCCCTATTAAGAACGTTCTACTCCCCTGCTTAGGAGACTTAATGAAGTATTTTAAAGCCAGTATAAAAATGACTGAAACACAAATTTACATATTTGGCATTACTGACCAATATCTTTCATTTAATTTATTTGTTAAGAACATCAAGATGCATTACGGTGAACATTATAATAAAGTACATTTTTCTAGTGCAGAGAGGAGACAACCCATAGAAGCACTGATTTGATCTCATTTCAGAGAAAAATAGAACAGGTCAGATGCACCTAATAAATAAAATTACTAACATAAACTCAGGAATCTGTTTCTTTGCTTCATTGTTCTGGTGCTGAAAATATCACTAATGCGGATCAAAGGAGAACCACAGATGAATGCACCTCTTATTTATTATTTAGAAATTAGTGGGTGTGGTTTACATCAATACATTATTTTAAATCTGAAATTGATATGTATTGATCAGAAGTTGCTATGTGTATTGTTTATTTGAAAACTATTTACAAAAAAAAATCAATAAAACTTGGAATCTTGTAGGAGTGGCGCTGGGATTTCAGCCGTAGCGGGCCGCCACCGCTACGCCTATTCTATGTAAGGGAAACACTGCTGTTTTATGTTCCCACACACAGCGCTGCTAGAGCCGATGATAATGGCACCGTAGGTGAGCCCGGGACAGAGAGAGAGAACGTTGTTGAGTAAGGGAGAAAGAGATTCCTCCCACATCAGCAGGTTCAGGCTGACTTCTAAAGCTTTGTTTATGCTTCATCAGCGCTTCATCAGCACGAGTGCGGAGACGCACACTTCAGTTGACCGGAAAGCTCAACTTTTCTTTTAAAAATGGTTAGAATGTTTCTGATGGTGCACGTTAGTTCAAACAAGCTAAGGTGTCAGAATGCGTGCGTCTCTCACGGAACTGATGTTTCAGTGAGGAAAAACTATCAGATGGTTTTGAAAACGTGCAGCCAGTCTGCCTTGTTAATGCAGGAAAAACTGCTTTTTTTTGTTATTTAATACATTCAAAAGCTATTTCTACCTACAGATTTCCTCCATGCATTTTTGGAGTAGAACATGTTTTTTTAAACTCCTCTCTAGATAAAAATCACAAGTACAAGTTGCTTCACAAACACTTAAAAAAAGATAATAATGGGAGAAAATATTAATAGCTTTAACTGTTTTTTATTGTATGATTAAATAGTAAATATTAATGTGAATGATTTGTTGTACTAGATTAGAATCTAGACCATCTTTTCACTTAATCTACAGGATGGCTTAGCAGGCTAGTGTTGGATCTTTGCTTGCAGAAAATCGTGAATTGAACCGAAATCGCAATTTCTGCAAGAAAAATTGCAATTCAATCTTTTCCTAAAATCGTTCAGCCCTAATTCCAATATTTGAACCCTGGTACCTTCATCACCTAATTGTTGATTCATTAAAGGTGCAGTATGTAAAAATATAGTGAGAAAATCCCAAAAGGGTCTAATGTTTCAGTCATTTTGGAAGGAAGGTTATACTGAAACATATTTCCTATCCAGCTGGCTACTGAGATTGTCAGTGTTTCTGCTTTCAAAATAAAGGAAGGAGGGACGTAACTACTGTTTACCATAAGTGGTGAGTGTGGGGTTGCCATGTCTCCTGCGAGCTAATACAGCAGCTCTGACAATTGTAATTTAACGACAGCCGGCAAAACCCTCCAGAGTTGTTTTAAAGGGGTTGCAATAACCACATTTTACCACAGGATGTCGTTTTACTTCATCTCTACATAATGCATCTTTAAAATAAGCAAAATATTTTAAAAGATTTACATTTGTTAAAGAATGAAATAAACATTCTCTAAAATATGCAGCGTATATTTAATCAATTTTCTACTAATATGGGAAGAACTGAACTAGTGCTGCATAATTTGAAACAAATTAGTGCAGTTTTCTCTATTTTATTTCTTTAACACTTAAAAGTTTTAAAGGAAAGAAAGATATCACTTTAGAACATAAATTCTTAACTTTAAGGGTCAAGATTATTTTGTAGCTGCATACAAATTGTTAATAGGATTGATGGTAGAAATCGCTTTCAGTATAACATTGCCTCCCC